CAGGGAACAGGGACAGGACAAGGGGAAACGGCCTCAAGCTGTGCCAGGGGAGGCTCAGGTTGGCCCTGAGGAGGAATTTGTTGCTGGCAAGGGTGGTGAGGCCTTGGCAGGGGCTGCCCAGGGAGGTTTGGAGTGCCCAGGCCTGGAGGTGTCCCAGGCAGGCCTGGCCGTGGCACTCAGTGCTCTGGGCTGGGGGACAGGGTGGGGATGGGGCACAGGGTGGATCCATGGTCTGGGAGGGCTTTTCCAGCCTCAGGGATCGGGGATTCAGGGCGTGTGTTACCTGTGACAGGCCCAGGCCCTGCTGCAGCCCCCGTGTCTGCAGTAACCCCCTGTGTTTCAGTGTCCTGGCCCCGCTCCGCTACTGCTGCGATTTCCGGCCCTACTTCACCATCCACGACAGCGAGTTCAAGGAGTACACAACCCGCACCCAGGCCCCGTGAGTGCCCACCAGGCCCCTCCTGACCCCTCTGGGTGTGGAGACCCCCCTACATTTCCATTCTCCTGCTTTTCCCCCCCTCCCTTTCCAGGCCCAACATCGTTGTGGGTGTCACCAACCCTTTCTTTATCAAGACGCTGCAGCACTGGCCGCACATCCTGCGAGTGGGGGAGCTCAGGATGTCAGGTGAGGGTGGCACCGAGGTCCTGTGGGGCTAGTGGACCGTACAGGGGGCTGCAGGAGCCATAATTTTGCTCATCTTCATTCCTGGGAGAGCTGGGAAGCCGGGGTGGGGAAAGTGTGGGCTGGGGCTCGGGCCGCATGCAGGGTGGTGCAGTGGGAAGGCAGGTTCTTGTGAGGGTGATTTGCTGTGTTTTTCTGAAGCATTCAGAAAAGGAGGAGCCCCTTCTGGGCAGGAAAAGAAAATTGCATTGAGAACAAGAAAAAGGTGGAGGGAGAGACTCAGTTATTAACTGTGAAACCAAGCAACCCTCGAGGCTGAGGAGCTGTTTATGTGCAGTGCCTCCTTAACACATCCTTGCTCCAAAATTGTGGCAGGACAGTGAGATGAGGCTTCTGTGGGGGTGGAGGGGAGGGAGGGTGTGAGTTAGGATGGACAGACGGAGGGCTGGGTGTTCTCAAGGGCAAAGTGTCTCACAGGGACAGAGGCAGAGCCTGAACTGTCCCCCCTGTCTGTCACAGGGGACCTGCCCAAGCAGGTGAAGGTGAAGAAACTGGCCAAGCTCAAAACCCTGGACACAAAACCAGGTCAGTCCTCTTCTCAGACACAATTCAATCTTTGTTTACCCTTCCATGGGGAGGGTTTTGCAGGAATGAGAGTGTCGTGCCCGCCGTTCTTTGCATCCCAACAAGTTGGGTGTGTTGGTGTTGCCAACCTCCTCACAGATCCTGACCTGCTGCCCAGGAAAACTGCACACCTTTCTTCTGGCGTGGAAAAAGCCAATTTAAATTGCTGCAACACATTATTCCAGTGTTTCCCTGGGTTTATTCTGTGTGCCACGCCTGCTGTTTAGAGGTGATGGCAGTGAGGGGAACTTGCTCAGCTGTCGCAGCCGAGTGTCCCTCCCAGGCCCTGCCAAAAGCTGCCTCCAGAAAGTTCTCTCACCAGAAACTCAGTGTAAGAAGGTCCTGGAGGCAGTTCAGAGCCCTTTAATCCTGCTCTGAGTACTGGCTGCCTTAGCAATTCCATAATTTTGCGGTGATTTAATGATTTCTGTGACTACACACCCAGCTGCCAGGGTTTGTGCTGGGAATCTCAGTCCTGTTCTCCCTGCACTGTGTAACAGTGTCTCCTCCAGAGGAACAGGCAAAAATTTGTTTCTCATTTCTGTTTTGTTTTGTTTTTTTTCCTGATTTTATGTTGTTTGTTTTTTTTTTTTCCCAATCTAGGAATCTATACTTCTTATAAAACATTCCTTCACAAAGACAAATCCCTGATCAAAAGATTGCTGAAGGTAAGCACTTCCCGCTCTCTCCTGCATGCTGGATGGGAAAACTGTGCCCAGCAGCTTGGTTTTCACAGAGGGAACTCTCCAAAAGGAGGAGCAGGCTTTTGCAGCGGGCAGTGATTCAACTGGGTGTGTTTGGACGTGTCTCCCATGCCAGATTTAGGATTTTCCCCTTGATATTAAGGATTAAACACCCCGAGAGAGAAGAATCCACGCCAAAAACGCAGCCCAAAACCCGGGCTTTGTGGGGTGGCATTTGAAATTTAATGATGTTTTAAGTGGAGAGTGGGAGGTGTGGCTGCTGTGCTGCAGCTCCTGTGTCTGTGTGACACCCAGGGGCCCCTGAGTGACCTGGTGGGGGGACATTTGTGCTTCCAGGGCATCCAGAGGAAACGTCCCTCCGAGGTG